AGCATCGAGATATGTCGGACCGTATGAGATTATTGAGAAAATCAATCCGGTAGCATATCAAGTAGCGCTTCCTCCTGAAATGGTGCATATGCACAATGTCTTCCACATTTCTATGTTGAGGGACTACCTCCGGGATCCTTTCCATGTGATAGAGGCTACTCGTGTAGTGTCGATTGATGACTACACTTACGAGGAACGGCCTATTCAGATTGTAAACAGACGGATCAAGAAGTTGAGAAACAAAGAGATCCCGTTAGTGAAAGTCGACTGGCAAAACAATGGTGGCGTGTATGCCACTTAGGAAAGGGAAGATGACATGGCTAAAAGATATCCTGAACTGTTTCCACTGAATCCTGTTTTCTTCCAAAACAAATGCAACTCGAGTTTAAAGGACTGAACTCTTTTTAAGGAGGGGAGACTGTAACAACCCTCATCACTGATCACTGATCGATTACTGATTACTGCTAAACTGAGACTGATTATAATTGGTAATTGAATTGATTGAAATACTGAACTGACTGACTGAAATCTGAAACTGATTGATTGAATATATCTATTTGAATTGCATTTCTATCTGTTTGACTGTTTGATTATCTGTTTATGTTTAAACTGCAAATTGAAGGCCTTATCGGTGGCCGAACCAGAAATTGATTAGTGTTTCATGATTAGTAGAATTTATGTGATTTAATGATGTATTTATCTGAAATGGGATTTAGTATGATTAAATTAGATTAAAATAAGCTAAACTAAACAAGTTGCTTTATTTAAGGAAATGCCATTGTGAGTGGGCCCTTATTATAACATATTTGAGCCTTCAAGGCCAAGAGTGAGAGGAAGTGAGAGTTGGAGTTCAACTTGTTGATTTGCTTGGAAATTGGAAGAAATTGTAGGAGATTTGCCTACTTGAGCTTCTAGACTTGTATTTAAGGAACCTAGGTATGAATTTTATCCTCTTAATTGTGTCTTTAAGTTGATTCTTGCATGGTTCATGTCATGTTGAAGAGCTAAGTCATGATTTTGTTCTAGCATGTTGAATTGAAGCTCATTTCATGCATGCATGTTTGTATTGTTGCATTTTAAGTTGTTTTCATGGCAAAGTATTACATGCATGTTCATATTATGTTTAAGTCCATGATTTCATCTTGTTTTGAAAAGAATTGGCTCATTGGAGCTAGCATTGAAGCTTTGAAGTGGTTTTAACTCATGTATGTCATGCTTGGATTATGTTCTTGAAATTTGGTTTGAAAATGAGTTTAATTGATCTTCCCTTGGGCTTTGATTTTACAAATTGAGCTTTGAATCATGTTATACTATGTATTTGCAAATGTTTTCCAGGAAATGAGCCCAAGAGGATTGAATTTATTGCTTTGAAAGTTGAATTTGAGCTTGAGGTTCAAATCTGGGAATTCCAGATTTTGAACTCACGCTCGAGCGGGGTGACTGGCGCTCGAGCGTGGAAATCGTGCTCCCAGCATTTTGTTCTGTTTTTGAGTCAGCTCGAGCGGGGTAATTTACGCTCGAGCGGGACCTTGTGTTTTACGCTTGAGCGGGTGTCGAGCGCCCAATCGAGCGTGAATTTCACCTATCCAGCACTTTTGACTGTTTTGAGGTAAGCTCGAGCGGTTGAGTCTGAGCTTGAGCGGAAACCTTTGTCTGCATGTCCGCTCGAGCGGATTAACCTACGCTCGAGAGGGACCCCTGTTTTTTGAAAATTCTGAAAATACTTTTAAAGTGCATCTTTGCATCCTCATTTCATCCTAGACATTCTTAGGCCTAGTTTAAGGCATCTTAATGAGGATATAGATGTAGAACCACACCGAGGCAAATTAGGGATTAAGTTATTATTTTTCCCAACTGTGTAGCTTAGTGTGTGTTCGTCCAGTAAACTGTGTAGGGTTGGCGACTGGAGACGCGCTCTAGCTTTACTGTAGCCCAGAACTCTGTGAGTAACAACTGTGTAAAGATATGTTCAAAAATGATTATCTTCTGAACAATTGAACTGTACTGTTTCTGAATTGATACTGTTAATAGAATGAATGTATGTCCTCTATTCTGAACTGTATTGTGGCATCCTTGGCAACTACTGTTACTGACTGTTACTGTTACTGTTACTGTTACAGAGATCTCTGTCGGTTCCCTTGTTGGAACCACTACTGTTTACTGATTGATGGCCATCATTGACTGTTAGGTCTTTCAAGACCTACTGTTTACTGTACTGTTATGCTAATGGATGTACCACATATGACTGTACTGACAGAACGACTAAAATACTGATTTAATGAACTGTTTTAACTACTATAAGGACATTCATTCTTAACCTCTTTACGCATTGTGTTATTCACTGGGCTTTAGCTCACTACTCATATATATATGTAGGTGTACAGGCACCAGACCGCGACTAGAAGCGTCGGGGTAAGCTCCAGTTTTGTCAAGCCAACCACTATGCCTCACTGCGAGGTTCCGAGCCTATCAAGTTATGGCTTAGGGGTGTTTGAATTTCCCCCATCTGTTTTGTAGTAACTGTGTAGAACTGTATAGACTGTTACTGTACTGTTTAATAGGGATTAGGTCCCTGATCTGAATGATTATAAATGTTGTACATACTGTTCTGCACTGTGTATTTGTATATATGAAAAGTCTTTTTGGCATACAGACTGTCACAGCTCATTGGACATTGTTTATTTACTGTATTGGCTTCCGCCAGGCCCCTGTTCTCTGTTTTACTGTGTTACTGTTAAGCAGGCCTTCGGTAATCTCGGATTACTAGCCGGTTACGGTGCTAAACCCATAGGGGCGGGTTTGGGTCGTGACACAGAGCCATACCTCGGCCCTAGAATGTAGCAAATCTCAAGAAATACTATCAATAGAATTAAACCCCAACTTCTCTGTCAGGATGTAAAGACATTTTATCTTTTGACCAATGCAAATGCCTCCTCACTTCTTTTAAATTTATCAAATTTTTGTAATTAGCTTCGATGTTTATCAACAGAATTAGCTTTGGTGCTTACCAAACGGAATTAGCTTTGATGTTTATCAAATGAAATTAGCTTCGATGTTTATCAAACGGAATTAGCTTTGGTGCTTACCTAATGGAATTAGCTTTGGTGCTTACCAAATGGAATTAGCTTTGATGTTTATCAAACAAAATTAGCTTTGGTGCTTAGCAAACGGAATTAGCTTTGATGTGTATCAAACGAACTCAGCTTTGGTCTTAACCCAAGCAGATTAAGTTTCAGAATGACTGAATGGAATTAAATTTTAGTTAGCAGTTAAACATGCCAAGTGGAATTGTTTGGTGGAAACCGCACTAACATATCTTAAGTAAACATCTCTGAGCCTACAGAATATCTTAAGTATTATCACATCGACACTTCAGTATTGCTGCGTACAAACAGAGTTGGAACAGACTTGGCTAAACTCTATCAGGGGCAAACTTCCAGCACTAGTCTTACTCAACTCCAAGTGGGGGCAAACAATTGTTTTCTTTTCAAACCAACCTGGACTTGAGTAAGACACCTCTTTATACCTTTACCCCATTCAAATGCACTTATGCTATCAAAGTTGCAACAGACTTAAGCAGCTCAGCCTAAAGAACACAGTCTTCAATACTGATCTTATTTAGCTCCAGGTGGGGGCAAACAATTGTTTTTTAGAATCAACCTGGACCTAAGTAAGAACTTCTTCTTTTCATTACAAAACCAGGCACAGCTATGCAACATATTCGTTAACTAGACCAAGCATCTGTTCGGTCCCGAAGTCCCAATAGTGCTCGGCCGGGGGCAAGCAGTACAGATAGCATTCAGACATGGAAATAAGAAAACATCAAATTGCAAAATCGAAAGGAAAATTCCATCATCCAACAAAGGCACAGCTGGCCTAACAAACAACAATAACAAAAAAAATAAGAGAGGAAAATTGTCTTGGCAAGTATAAGGAGACAACTCGTCAAGGGGACCGAGCCGCAGTACATCAGAAACTTGATAACAAAAGAAAGTCAGAAAAAACAGAAACTTCGAATCATTCTAAAGAAAACTTTAGCTTTTATCAACGAAAGGAACCTCAGGAGCAGTGTCCATAATCTTGTCCAGGCCATCTAGGGGAGGAAAAGTAGAGGCAGCTCCAACTTCTTGAGAAATAGAAGCTTTCTTAACCACATCTCCCACGGCTCCAGTCTCTAGGGTTCCACCCCCTTCAACATTCACCGTCTCAATGGCAATATCACTTTCCTGAGTCTTGTTCGTAGAATCTATATCACTCTCTCACTGTAGGAACTTTCTGGCAAACTGACTTGTAAAATCGAAGTAAAAATTTCTATATTGAGACTTGACAGGAGGGTCTCAATCTATACATGTATAGGGGAGAGAGGAAGAGCCTTCAGCTTTTATGGCTGGTCATTAAAGCACCATTAACCAGCATCCATAACCCCTTTTCAGAAAGTTGAAAAGTTTAGATGCCCAAAGGGTTCACATCCTTTAGCCAAGAAAGATTTAATACTCTTTAAGAGTTAGGGTTAAGAATTAGATAGGGAGAGAGAATGAGCCCTTTTAATTTTGAATGAGTCTTTTAATTTTTTAATGGATCAATTTATTTTAAGTTAATTTGGGTTTTCTTTAATTTTTTTTGACTCAAAACATACCTAATGTATTACACTAAATTATAATAGGAGGCTTTTTTTTTGGTCTATTTTGAGGGGTCCTAAGCCATGGCCTAGTGGGCCTATGCCCAGGGCCGGCCCTGGATTTGCATTTAACTAAACATTTAGGTCTCGCTTGGGAATGCAACTTTTTATCAAAAAAATCACTACAAAAAGTCAAGTCATTATCTCTAATATTTTGGACGCCTTTTTTTTTATAAAATGTCAAAAATCATTAAAAAAATCAATTCCCAAATGACACCTTAACTATGTAAGAAAATCCAACAATATATTACCACAAACATAAAATGTTTTGAGATTTAAGTTTGACTAAGCATTTAACTATATAAGAAAATCCAACATCTTATTACCACAAACATATAATAAACTCAACAATTACACATGAAATGTTCTACAAGTGGTGGAAAGAATCGAGATCCTGACCTCTTAATAAGGTACAAGACCCTTAGACCGCCACACTGATCATTCACTTGTACAAGAATTCTTAATACCACACGCTGAAACTAGAAAGAAATCTAAAACCAAAAGGTCTATGGATCATCCAAGTAAAGGGGTGGTTACATCTCTGTCTCACTAGGAACTGTGACAACGATGTTCATTTCAGAGACACTCTCATCAACAGATGGAATTAGGATCACAAATCCTTCACCAGGGACAGAATTAATCCAATAAGAAACACAAACAGGCCTGTTCCCTTCAAAGAAATTTACTTCACTAGCCCCTAAATCTTCCCAATTTGCACAACTGAGTCCACTCCCACACCCCTTTGGCTTCTGCAGAAGCCCTTCTCTTGCAAATTTCTCTACCTTTATGACCTCCTCTGAGAGTTCTTTCACAAACAAAGATAAATCTGAAGCCATTTTGACACCAAACTTGCTCTCTGCCTCCTCGACACACTGCAATGCGAGTGCCTTGCGTGCCTCATCATTCAAATTCAAATCTTTGATGGTGGAAGATTTGAAGATCATAATTTTGCCGCGGTGTTTGGTCTGGTTTGAGCCAATTGGGTTGGTGAGAAAAGTGCCATTTGGTTTGAAATTAGGGAGGTAGAAGAGAGGTGGTTTGGCCTCATCAGCTTCAGAGACCATATGGTTGTGAATGTCGACCCATCTCCTTAGAAAGCTTATGATGGCCAAAGGATCTGCTAGTACAAGGCTGCAGCTAATCCCAATTGAGTATCCTCCACACTGGAAGTTAGTCACCTGACAAAAAAAAAAAAAAAACTCAAAAAACACTTCTTGGTCGCATTAAAAGGAAAATGCAAGAATCATATGGTTTCAATTCACAGAACAGTAATGCTGTGTTTAATTGAGGATTTGGAAAAGGATTTAGAAAGGAAAAGAAAAAAGGAAGGTGAAATATAAATAAAACATATTTACATTTTACCTAATTTCACAAACCTTTTTTCTTTATCTTTCGAAATCTATTCTTAAATCTCTCAACTAAATAGAGCGTAAGATGGCTATAAGTGGGTATATGGGCATGGTGACTAGCTTATTGACAAGGGTTCGATTCCCTTGCCGTTTGTCTGGTTCACTTGCTTAGGGGTAGTCTTTGAACCTTGAATTTTTCATTTTAGGATGGGTCCATAAGCATGCTTTCTCGATTATCAAAAAAATATATATATTACAAAGTTTGCTTAATAAAGACTATAGTACAAGTGTTACTATCACTTACCTGGATATAGAACAATGGAGAAAACTGAGGATTTTGATCATCAACATCATTCCAAAACACAAGCTCAGCCTCTGCATCTTCCCTCTCCTTCAAATCAAGAAACTCTTCCAAGGTTGTGGAGATCCGTGCTTCAATCATTCTGACACCACTATCATTTGACACAATCTCCAATTCCCCTTTGCCTCCTTCCCCTCTCCGGAGCCTCCCAGCAAGGATAGGTTGCTCCTCCAAAGCCTTCCCGAGCGACAACTTCATCCACCCCACCAACAACCACCCTGACTCCTCACTCAAGGCCTTCTTGTAGTACAGAATGGCTTGGAATCGCTTCCGGAAAATGGCTGAGGAGGCAGAGTCTGTGACAGCCACTTGGCGTGACAGTCTTGGATCAGTTGCCTTGGTTGGTGTCACAGACTGGGCAGCTTCAATGTGGGAGTTGGGGAGGAAGTTGGTGGGGGTGCCATTGAGCTTTGCCATGTTGATAGTACTTTGAGCACAATTTGATGAATACTGGTTTTGCTATTTATAGGAGAGGGAAAAAAAGAAAAAAGAAAAAAAAGAGTACATCTCCACTCGAGGAGGTTTTGCAAGGTTGGAAAAATTTTGAAGTGTTAATGGACAATTTGGTAATTAGACCTATTTAATTAGAGAAATTCTATTCACTCACCATAAGAAATCTTAGTAAATACCAATTGTTTTGTTCGAATATGAACTTTTAAACAAAAGACAAATGTTCCGACATAGACTGATGAATAAAAATAAATTGTTCAAATATATATTTTGTCCAACTATTTTATATCCAGACAATTACTTTTTGTTCATCAATTTGTATCCGAACATTAAATTTTTGTTCATAAACTTAAATCTAAATTATATAAATTACGTGTACTAAGTTTTTCTTGTGCTGTAAATAGAATCACCCACCTAATTATTGTGAAATTCTATGTCCCTACATTAACTACAACAAGGTGCATTAAAATAAATGATAATTCGATATAAATTATCCTTTGTTTTATCTTTTCAAGGATTATCCAACTGCCATCCGTCAGCTACACCAAAGAACAATACTCGTTTTTTTTGCATATGGTTGGAACAACTGAACATATTTCCTTTTATGGTCATGAGTATAGCCACGATATTTTTTGTATCAAATCTCTCTATCTGCATCTCTAATTATTAGATTATGTCTTAAAATTCATATGTTTCGAAATTTTTATGTAATTCAATGATTGGAATATATCGGGATAGAGAGATAGAGAAATTTGAAGACAGATAATTCTTGGCTATGAATTCATATGGATTTATCAAGCATCCTTTGAGCATATCTACTACTGTAGTTCCACTAGTTTTCCAATCATGGTGTCTATGCCCCAAGAAGGTGCCACCTGAATCCCACAAATTGCCTAAAAGTGAAATTTTGGAGTGTTCTCCATTTAATATTTCCATTTTTATAATTAAATCAAAGTCAGATGGTTGGTGGCTCATGAATTAGCTCATGAATTGGCTCATGACTACCTCTGTGATCTATGAATCAATTTGCTGGTTCAAGTTAGGCCTACCAGATATAAGTATACAGATATAATTGCAACAACTTTGTGGGTTCATAGATCAGGCATGATGCAAAAAATAATAATAAAATTAAAAAATAAAAAATAAAAAATTCTGCAACTGCATGTGAAAAAATTGATGATACATGTTGGAAAGGAATTCAATTTCACTCCCACGCCACACAACACAAGCACCATTGGGGTTCTCTGCTTTCTATCTTTAAAGCCTAATAATTGTATGCAGCAAAAAATCAGATGGGAAAGTCTGATTCACCTGACCCTCCAGGCCAACCACCTATTGACCAATTGTGATGGCTACTCAAGATCATAGTAATACGTTATGATATTCTCTAACTCAGTACACTTCCCGTCACACAATTGTAGGTGGTGTTTGGGAACTTGGTTTCCAAATTTTTTTCTCATTTTTTTCACTAAAAGACAAAAGTTTTGCAAAATCAAAAAAAAAAAAACAAATCCAAACAAAATATCACATCCAACTCCATAATCATTTCACTTTTTTTCTCATAAACATCACATCCAACCACAAAAGAACCCAACTATCTTCCCAAACACTATAAATTTTTTATCCAATAATATCCTACAACTAAAAAAACCTACATAAAAAGTCACTTCCCAAACACCACTGTGTCTTGAGATACGTTTTTCGAGTCTCACCATATCGTGTCACTGTGAATGCATTAAGCAGATCCCGTTATCATCATGTAACAACACACCGTAGAATTTGAAGTGCATTGAAAAATCTCAAAACAAAGCATAACCATGGCCATAGTAATACATAGTGAAAACATGACATGTATATATTATACTAGAAGGCGTGCTACGAAAATCAATCAGTTGATATTTTATTGATTGACAAAAACAAAATTGTAGATGAAGAGAAAAAAGAAAACTCAAGAAAAAACTCTAACAAATCTTTCAATTTTGTAGACTTTATATAACAGAGTAGATACCATTGCTAAATGCTAATACAATGCAACTGAAAACACAATTTGTATGTATATCATTTCTATAGAAGTACACAATACAATGTCAATCAAGCTGTAGAATTTGAGACCACATCATCTATCACAAACATGTCAATTCATTCTAAGAGTCTCAATGAAGGTTTTTTCTTTTTTAGAATAGAGATGGTTGATGTAGTCTTGGAAGCTACTTCCTCTGTACCCTTTTGGGTGCTCTTCATCCACCAGCTCTGGAGCAGGCTCAACCACTTCATCCATGGCTAGACTGTGAAAACTAGCTATGGACAGCCTGGTTTCATCTGTGCTCGGGACTGCGCGGTGTAACGCACTCTTGTAGATACCATTGCTCAATACTTGTAGATGATCTCCAACAAGGACTACCAAGGTGCCCTTCATCTCAGGGACAACCCTCCAAGCACCGTCACCACCACTGCTACTGCCACTGGTGTCCATGACATGAAGGCCTGAGCAACTTTGGAGGAGAATTGTGATGATGCTATGATCTGTATGAGACACTATACCAATCTTGACATTTGTTTTGGAACTTGGTGGGTAGCTATTGATGCCCATCATTTGGAACCCTTGCTCCAATTTGTCTCTTAGGTATGTCGGAGCCAAGTTTAAGCTCTCCGTAATGGCTCCAAGTACTTCAATGCTTAGTTTCATCACCTCCTTGGTGTACGTTTCCATCTTTTCTGTCATATGATCATAAGTTTCTTGGTGAGTTTGGTTATAATAAAAGAGAAGTGTGGGACAGAGAAAACATTTGAACTTCGGAAAGTGCAAGAAAAGTTGAACTTTATGTACAACCTATATCACTATGCTTATTTGGCTTTCAGTGTTTTCTCTCTCTCTCTCTCTCCAAATAATGCAGGGAAATTTCAGTTTTTTTTTTTGTAAATAATGAAGGGGAATTTCAGTTTTTTGTTTTTGTTGCAAATTTCAGTTTTTTCTCAATTTTAGTAGGAGTACAACTTTTTCTCAAAAAATTCATCTTAAACAAATGCATAAGAAAATAAATTTTTCTTTCACTTTTCTTTATTTCATTTCACTTTATATCACTTCAACTTTTTATCATATTTTTCATTCTTATCAAACAAACCTTAGGGATTTATGGAAAATTATATGCTTTTTTCACTTCCTTCACGGATTTAAACAAATGGTCCACCATATCCCAAAAAAAAAAAAAAAAAAAAAAAAAAAAAAAAAAATAAAAAAAAAAAAAAAAAAAAAAGAATTAGAAAAGAAAAGAAAAAAAAAAAAGAAAGAAGAAGAAGAAGAAAAAAGAAAAAAAAGAGAGACCCATTTTGCTAGATAGAGAACCACACAGCAGGTGAAGTCTGGTGAAATACTATATAATAGCCATGACATTTTTATTTTTGTGAACCAAATATAAGAATAGACATTCTAATAGAATGATCATTACATTTCAATTCATTCTAATGAACCAAACACTACCTTAATATAATCTCATTCTAACATCCTGGTCCTCATATAAAAATGTCACATTCTTGAAAGAGAGTAAAACAAGTAAATGCACCCACAATATTTAAAACTTTATTATTTTATAATTAAAAAAATCCTAACCAAATGCTTGGCTTGTATTGACATAGAGATCTTAATACTAATAATGAGTTTTTGAAAATGAAATTTTCATTTCCTCTTTTTTTCGTTCTTGTCATCCAAACGTAACTTGGAACTTCTCCAATGGCTAGGTTTTTTGACAGCCAAACTAATTTCAAGAATGGAAAGTGTTATTAAAGTATACACTAGGTAAAGTAAAAAAATTAACGCTCAATTAGTACCCATTAATGAGTGTTTGGGACGAATTAAATTGGTTACATAGCTAACCTTTGGAATTGTTGGCACCAAAAATTCGAATTCTCTGTCGATAGGCATGTCAAAGGGCATGGGCATGAACAATAAGGGTCCAAGAATCGTGGACATGAAGATAGTGGCTTGGAGAGAAGATCAGGGACATTACATGTTACAATTTCAAAGGAAAAGGAAGCTTTTGACAGTTGCAGCAGTTATGGATCACGGGCAAGTAGAAGCTACCAGTAAAAAGGACACGTGGCTTTTTGACATGGCCAGTTGTAACAACTCCGATCTATGATTAACCGTTAAACCATGATTAAGAATATTCAATGAGTAATTACGATGAAATTCTGAATTAATTACATGTGTGTTGTATTATTCGTGTCTCTATGGGTGTGTTTGATTGGGGGAATAAGGGGGGGACTATCCACTATTTGGACTCCATGTCCGGCCTTCCTCCTTATCCGTCGTTTGATTTTTTTTTAATCCGGCGGACTCCATGTCCGGCTGGACTCCATGTCCCCCATATGGGGGACTATCCTGTCCTTGGGGGTGGGACAGAAAGTGGGGGACTAATCACTGTTTGGATTATATGCGAAAATGACCATTTTGACCCTCTACTATTTAATTATGTATTATATTTAATAAAATTCAACAAAATTTAAATGTCTCAATTTAAAAATTAAAAAAAAAATTATTTAATTTTTATTGAAGTTTTATTTTAAAATTTTGTTTATATTTTATTTAATTTCATTATTTAAATTTTAATAGATGTTTTATTTAATTTCATTATTTAATTATTATTAGTTTTAAAAATAAATTTATTTAAAATTTTAATTAAAAAAATAACATATATTTTTATTGATATTTTATTTATTTTATTTTTAAAAAATAAATTTATTTAATTGTGTAAAAAATAAAATAAAATAAAATTTTATTTAATCTATTTGTACATCAACATGTTTATTAAATTATTTCAACATCTGTACATCAACATGTATATTTATTTAACATCTATTAAATTATGTTTTAATACGTTAACATTTGATTACATCTACATTTGTTAATTGTTAATTATATCAACATTTGTTAATTGTTTAAACATAATCTGTACATCAAAATAATTTCAATGTTAATTGTTTAAAT